CCGCTTCATGATAAGTTGGAGGCCGAAAACAAGCGGATCGGTAGACGGAACCGAAATGCACTACAAGTCGCTACCTCCTGGGATAGTAATGAAAAGGCTGCCTACGAGAATGTACTTTCGTTGGTGAGAGACTCTGCGCTGATGGCACACCATGATCCGGACGCTGAATTGTGCGACTTCACAGATGCGTCGCTTTCCGGGTTTGGTATCGTGGTGACGCAAGTCATGCAGTGGCAGCCAGGCATTCCTGTTGAGCGCCAGAACCACCAGTTGATATTTGCAAAGGCGGTACGTTCAAGCACTCACAACTCAATTGGACGGTGGTGGAAAAGGAGGCATACCCGATCGTGAAGGCCTGCAACGACCTTGAGTACCTACTGCTGCGACCGGGAGGTTTCCGGTTGTTTTGTGACCATGCGAACCTGATCTACATATTTGCTCCGCATACCGACTTGAAGAAACATGTTCGAGACCGTTTGCAGCGATGGGCGATGCGGCTATGTGGTCTCTACTACCGCATTGAGCACATTTCCGGTGATGCTAACGTGTGGGCATATATTGTGTCCCGGTGGCACGTTCGCGGTGAAGAGCAAGTTTTGGTTGCGGCTGTCCAAACACGAGGTCGACGAAGCGTTCCTGTTGAGGATCTATCGATGCTTCGTCCTCTGATGGACGCAGATTTCGTTTTTCCTACCTCGACGGACATTTCAGTTGCGCAGTTTGTAGCTGGACGTGAGAAGGCTCGACTGAGAGTCGATTTTTCGGAGGAGAATGGTGTACTGCTTGTCGATGGACGTCCATGGATCCCAGCTGGAGCTCAATATTTACTAGCCAGAATTCTCGTGGTTGCGCACTGCGGCGCACAGGGGCATCGTGGTCAAGAAGCAATGATCCTCGTGCTGAAGTCTCGATTCTACCTTACGAAGTTGGAGAATAAGGTGGCGAAGTTCGTCCGTGGGTGCCTGCTGTGCAAGCGTTTTAAAGGTCCCCGACTTATTCCTCGTCCGTATGGACCGCTACTTACACCTACAGAACGAAACGAGCTCGTCCACTTGGACTTCCTTTTCCTTGGTAATGGCTATGGAGACTCAAACTACCTTCTCGTGGTGAAAGACGGGCTCTCGCACTTCTGCGAGCTGTTTCCGGGTGCTACGCCGTCGGCATACGTGGTTGCTGAGGCGCTGCTGATGTGGTATTCCCGGTACGGCCTGCCTCAGACGCTGCTATCAGACCAAGGCACGCATTTCCGTAACGAAATGGTGCAGCACTTGGCCACCCGATTGAAGATGGAGCTATACTTTACGCCTGGATACTCCCCCTGGTTGAACGGAACAGTAGAGAG